CACACACACACACACACCACACACACACACACACACACACACATACGAACTCAAATATATATTAGATATGTAGCCGGGGATCAATATAGTTGTGGCTCGCGCACCGTTAGCTTTGTTATCTCGCGCAGTTCACAGGCACTTGGAGCGTTTCAATAAAATATAATGCTAAATAAATACGAAATCTATTTACTACCAAAGTCTTAATGTTTTTATACTCTCTTTCGCCTATTATTGCCGACAATTTCCTGCAAATGCCGTCCAAATGCTCATCTCCAAAAAACGCTGGCTGCCGCCATGGCCATGGCCATGGCATTTGCAGGAAATTGTCGGCAATAATAGGCGAAAGAGAATATAGAAACATTAAGACTTTGGTAGTAAATAGATATCGTATTTATTTAGCATTATATTTTATATGTTTTAATGTACTATGTGTTCGGTCAACACACGCCGCCAACACTGTCGGCAGTAGGAAAGCGTATGACGCGTTTAGGACAAGTTTGCAGCCGTGTCGCGGCTCTGTGTTGCAGTTGTGATCTGTTTTACGTCGAAATGGCAGACGCTTGATGTGTACAGCCTCCTACACAGCTCGATTTTGCGCGGAGGCAATTTCCGTAGTGGATATTCTGTTACTATGCTTGCTGGCTGCACAGTAAAGAATGAGAATGGTGGATGCGGTGCGGCAGGGAATTATTTCGTGTCCTGAGTCCGCCAGCATTGTACCGTTGTCATGATAGCATACTCTTATTCATGAACATGTAAGATTGAGTGAGCCAGAGATGTGGAGTGACGGTGCCGGATACCGCATCGGATTAGCTTCAGCCAGTGGCAGTCGAATCATTGCCAGCTGATACTTGTTGCTGTCCCCAGTAATTACGGGAATAACTAGCTATCACTTGCAAATTGCCTCCAAGCTCCGTGAAAGTTAATGAAAATGGATGTTGCTATATATAATGGTTTTACTCTTCGAAATCACTATGTGTGCGTTTGGGGCATTGTGGGCATGTCCACAGGCACTTGAAACGTCTCAATAAATAAAAAGATAAATAATTTAAACACGAAATATAAAAAAAAACGAACTTACTACAAGTCTCTACTCTATTTCGCCTATAATCACCTGTAAATGCCGATCAAATGCCCATCTGCAACACACAAGTACACCGCACGCTAGCTGCTGCGCAGTGCACACTGACACATAAATATATAGTGACACTATATATTTATGTGTCAGTGTGTGCAGCAGCTAGCGTGCGGCGGCCAGCGTGTGACAGTGTTTTGCAGATGAGCATTTGGACGGCATTTACAGGAAATTGTCGGCAATAATAGATGAAATGCATTGCGTGCATGGGTGCATGGTTAGTTGCTACATGCATGCTCATTCTTGCTGATGTAAAACACCACAGCACTGTAGGCCGCAATAACATGGACTGCCTTTGTTCTGTATTCTATATATCTATGCTTTGTTTTGAATATATATATATATTTGTCCGCGTCTGGTCTTGCAAGAAAATATAAAGAACGCCAGTGGTGATATCAAGCACACACGCGCACACATACGTGTGCGTGCGCGCGTGCGTGCGTGTGCATTCATGCCTATTTGTTCAGCTTGATTGGTTAGGAAATCAATTCATTGCTAAACAAGTACCGCACTTTCTGCCGGTGTGTGCAAAATTAAGCTGTGACACATTTTGTTATAATGCCGCATGCGAAATTGATTGAACGCTATAACGAGAATGAAATCAAGAGCTAATAATACCTATACTAGTATAACTATATTAAATACTTGATTATAATACGCTATTATTAGCTGATGATGATATGTTTGTTGTAAATAGAAATATTGTTTTGTACGATGAATGAATATTGGTACTTTACTAATGAAGAGATTCGATGTGCTTTCCTTTACAAAACTTACCAGCTCTATCAGCCGTGAGCATTGTGAAGTAACGTGTCTTGTTGTACCATTGATGGTGCACGCACACGTGTGAACATATCACACAATGACATGACACGTTCGTATGCGAGATTTTTTAGAACATTCAATGAGCTTCTGTTTTTCAATCTTTGCAGTACGAGCAACCGGAGTACTATTTCTGCTAGGCGTTGGTTCAGTCATCTGCTACAAGTTGTATAAGCAGTACAAGCGTAAGCTCTCTGGGACAAAAGGCCAGAGTAAGAAGAGAAGGCGCCACTTGTCAGACTGCGAGGCACAGGAGGAAGGAGGGGACGAAGAGAAGCTGCAGGACGTGCACGTTGTTAAGAAGCCCAAGATTAACGAGGTATAGCGGGAAGTCGGGAACGAACGACATGCATTAATTGTATCGCTGCTGGCATGTGTCAGCCATGCCTGCAGTGGCTCTAGTCGAAATTTAGCTGTAGTAGGGGGGAGGTATCATATCAGCTATTGAGTGGTGTGTGTGGAAAACACATCAGGTTGTCTATTTTTTTAAACTTGCCTTCATCTCATGCATTCTGAGCTTGAAGCAAGAACTTTAACTTTAACCTTCTTCTTAACAGGTGGGGGGGGGGTAGGCACTCTAACTATTTTCCTTAGCTTTCTGGCCTCCTACATTTAATTACTGTACGCGTGTGAATCCTAAGCGTGTTTCATTCATTGTCTTGGGGAATAGTATAAGGCTGGGTGGAGTTCAAATCTTTAGTATATATTATTATTTTATATATATGTTAGTAAACATGTGGCCGCCTTGCTCACCCAATGTAAATATTAGCAGCTTATAACAGCAGCAGCAGCAGCAGCAGCAGCAGCAGCAGCAGCAATAGCAGCATCAGCAGCAGTAGCAGCAGCAGCAGCAGCAGCAGCACTACCAGCTGGTGCATGTTACTGCCCTCATCCATTAGCGGGGAAACTGTCCTCAGCGATATCGGCAAGCCGTCATTTATGAAGCCTATATACAGTCTTCACTGTACTTCACATAGTAGTGATGCAAGATTTCTGGATTGCTTGCTCTATATGTTCAGTAAATCACATTTACGATACGGGCTGTTGTTGAATTGCAGATATTTTGCAGCAGGAATTTTGCAGTATATTTGCGAATTCGTTTGTGAAGATATTCCCACATCAAAATACAATTGCTAACATAATGCAATATTGGGTTCTAAAAAAATCATTTTGCCATACATTCGGTTTGCAGTGATTTCAGTGCATATGGATAAGCTAGTTTAGGCCTATATGATATAAAATGTGTTCTTCTGGTTACATCGATGTTGCCCGGATGCATGGAATTATAATTGTGTTGACTAGGGTGATGTCAAATTTCATAACTCTGTCCACAACAGAATGATCAGAATAATATGCAACTTAGCAAGTAGTAGTCTATATTTCTTCTATTTCTTCCGAGTGAGTAAGTGGAAGCCATGACTCTGGGAGTGATGTAGCGAGTAAGCATGATAAATTGTGTTCAAATGCAATAAACGCAATAAAATGCATTAACAGCATGCCAGATAACTGAAAACAACATGCTAGCATTAGAAAAACTATTTAAACCAAACGTTTGATGATGTACGTAGATAGCGATTAGTTCTAGTATGAAGTCTAATACTATATACATCATATGAATATGCATCTTCTGTGTACATATGAATTATAGAGTTCTCTTGTTTCATCTCAGCAGGCACGTTGTAGACATGCTGTAAAGGACAAGGTGTACATCCATGAGAGATGCTCAGATGATGACTCCAGCAGTACCCTTAGTTATCTTGAAGCTGATGTGAGTATACACAGTTGGCGAAGTACAACAAAGGTATTAAATTTCCAGCTACGTCAGTGACTAGGGGAGGGGTGACGGCCTCACCCCTCCCCTAGTCACTGACGTAGCTGGAAATTTGCAACCAATGCGCATATCTAGTTTTACCCCTATGTATGCCTCACCGTGAGGCATACATGGGGGTAAAACTAGATATGCGCATTGGTCTATCACATAAAAACTAACAAGGCTGAAAAACGTGTAGCTGTCTATAAACACATGTAACAACTGGTATGGTGTGTTAGATGAGCACTAAGGCCCCCTATTAAAATAATATCCATCTCTACTTGGATTATTGCGTACTTATCTAGACGTAACGCGGCCATGATCCCGAGGCGCTCGCCGAGGATTGACACTTTGTGTCTTCCAATCACAGTCTACGCCGCCCCCTTATATACTAACTTTTAGCTATAATACCTATTACGACACGGAATCGCCGATCTCACGAACTAGGGCATTCTGCTAGGCTAGAACGGTTTCCTACGATAGAGTTTGGCACAAAAACGAAAATAACACGTCGTTTAGCGCACTAAGCTACGTACTTTTGTTGCATTTTAGCATCTCCGTAATAAGAATAAGCCCCGCCTTCTTCGTTGATGGGCATGAATGGGGCGTCACCGACGTGACCGGTTCCTTTCCCCAGCCTGTTTTCTTTTTGTAAATAATGAAATGCCCGGCCGATGTATTTCGAATCGAACAGGAAATTGTTCTGCATTTTTATTTGCTGTCGGAAGTGAACGAGTGCGTCATTCATTAAACAATTCAATAAAACACACACAATTAATGTTCGGAGGCAAATCCGAGATAATGTTTACATGCCACAGCGCCATCTCTTGGATGTTTTATAAGTAAATATGGGAATTTTCAATCAAATAATGCGTTTTTATACGTATTTACCACAATTTACGCGGAACTGCGCGCCTCATCCGCGCGCAGCGCTCAGGATCTACAGCAAAGCTGTGCCACGCAATCTTGTATCATGTCTCTCTGGATAGAGGAAATAGAAAGATAGCCTGTGGGTAAATCGATAATACAACCATATGTAAAGGTTTACATCAGTGGCTTTATTGTGCTATTAACTAGATTGTGTCAGCTGGTTTGGTCTTCAAATTAAAATGAAAACGTGACCGCTAGTTGTCGTACAAAGTAAATATTCTTCAACTTAACCGTAATATACTGGCGAGTGGCGTTTTAGGACCCACCCCCACTGTTAGGGCAGAATTATCTCTCTAAAAATAAGGGTGGCAGTTCTTTCATCATATGCTAAGTACGAGTATTCGAGTGTGCAGGTTGTGCCCATAAAGGTAATGTGCATACGTATCTCAAGCCCAACCAAGATCACTGTGCACAGTACTCATTTTGTGAGAATCTCTGTTTATCACTAGGTTTTTTCACTTTTCCTTTGCAGGACGTGAGCGTCTGTAGTGGTTTGTCATGGTGCGACTCAGAGTTTGATATGGGAAACCAACCAGGCCATCCGGACACTCAGGCATACTATAGCAAACAGAATGGCATCTCCCTGTCGCCGCAGCACAACTCTGAGTATCTGCGCTTCAGCGCTTCCCAGCGCTCTCAGGAATCCGTTGAGGTGCTAGGACGAGGAAGCAGGGGAGGAGACCGCGTCCCGGCGACGCGCGGCGGAGGCGGCGGCAGCTCGCAGGCGAGCAGCGACGCGGACGACGCGCGCTCGGAGTCGTCGTGCGCGCTGCCCGCATCGCCGTTCTCGCTGCCCTGCTCGCCCGAGTTCTACGACGACTTCTCGTGCTCCTGCTCGAAGGAGTGCAGCCCCGCGCGCGAACTCTCCTCGGCCGAGCTCCACCGGCTGCTCGACTGCGGAGTCTTCCCGGCCGACCTGCAGCGGAAGCTGCTCGGCAGCAGGGACGGCGGCGGCGGCGGCGGCGGGGCGCGGCCCGCGTCGCCCGGCTCGATCACGTCGGAGTTCATGGACGAGCTCATCGAGGACGACTTTGTCACGGCGCCATCGTCGACGTCGTACGACCGGCTCGACGGTCAGGTGCAGAGCCTGAAGCACGAGGTGCTCGACCTCGACGTCGACATGGTCGAGCTGAAGTTGAAGCGCTCCCTGCGCGACCACGGCGACGCTGCGGCGCTGCGGGGACGCGCTGCGCCGCCGGGCGAGACGTCGCTCGAACGCTACCTGAAGAGCGCGCTGCTCATTGCCGAGCGCTACCAGGGCGCGCTGCAGCAGGAGATGTCGACACGCGAGGGTCGCGCGGGGGGCAGGCACGCGAACCCGAGCGGCGGGTACGTGAATCAGCAGAGCGGCGTTACGGCACTACCTAGTGGGCGTGCTGGTACGCCCGAAGAGATTCTGAGAGACGTGCTGGGTGGTCATGCAGATTTGCCAACACAAACGGTGCAGAGGCGCCGTTCTGGAAGCCTGGGCAGGGGGAGCCCTGTATTCCAACAGGTGATGCTTAATGCTCGACAGGGCAGCCCATCAAGACAGCTAATTAGCAGCCCAACTCATCAGAGATCTGGTGGTCAAGCGTCGGCCCTTGTCCACTCCACCTCTGATGGCTCTCTGAGAGCTTCGGCAATGCGGTCTCCTTCACGCAGCTCACCGATGTTGCGGAGGAGGAGATCTTCAGGCACACGCGCAGGATCCACGTCTAGGATGGTTAGCAGCGAAGGCAGTGAGACAGGTGCGTCTTTAGCAGTGGGGAGCAAGGATATAAGCTTGACAAGAATTAGTCATGAACCACGGACGCTCTCTTTTCCTGAAATGTCTGCTAGCCATTGGCATGCTGTCTTCATTCGAGATGACGAAGATATTAGCAACTGCTGCATCAAAATCGTGCAGATCACTCCTTCTATCTACTAACAAATTGTTGAATGAATGAACAAATGAGCAAATTGCAGCAATCAAACGAATGAATGAGGTTCGTGCGTTTGTTTTGCAGGAAGCGTAGCCAGCAGCCGCTGTAGGTTTTTTCTGGATGAGGAAACACAGAGCATTCAGCTGGAGTGGGACGAGGATTACGATGGGCTGACTGACTTGCCCGAGGATAATTTTGATGATCTGCTCTCCAGGTAAGTCATACATGACGCTGATTTTTCTTGGGTGAAAATCGATAATAGGATCACCTGCTCTTAAGTAGATTGATAGAGAGAAGCGTGCCTTTTCACGATATTTAATTGTACACGATGTCATCCTATTGGTATTTATCACATTAGGTTTCTGATGAAGGAGGACTCTACTGGAAGCGACACTGTAGAAAGCTATCAAAAGCAAGTGATGATAGTCAATAGTTTACTCTCATCGGAGTCGAAATGCCACGTGGTTCCAAACATGGTCAAGATGGACAGCTTCGATATGGACCCCATGTACAACGCAGATTATTTTCAAACCCTGCACGACCTGAAAACTGTAGACGCTAACAGCCGAGCGGTGGCGGAAGAATGCAGCTACGATATGAGTTGTGACGACGAGGACGAGGACCCGCCGGCTATGGTGATGGAAGATAGTACTGGCTACTATCAAACCGTAAGAAACCTCAGTGATATCGATAGCGAAACCGAGAGCGAAAAGTGCGACGGCACGGGAAGCGAGTGCAGCGACGGCGTCGGCGACGGCACTCGCGACGCGACTTTTCGCATCAACGGCAGCGACAGTGACTGCGAGAACGGTGATTACACCGTGCAGGCCGACTCACGTCTGCTCTGCGGTGGCTGTGGCGGCGGCGGCCGGGACGCCAGCATGGCGAGCAGCCTCACCGAGGGGTCGACCGACCCCATGATGGACTCGGCGATTAGCATCACGTACTCGGACGACTCGCGCACGTCGACGCTGCTGCGACGGTCGCACGCGCGCCGCACGTCGATGACCGACTCGGCCGTGAGCGTCGCGAGCCGCGAGGCGGACGTGCCGCCGCTGCCGCAGCGGCGACCGTGGCGCCACCACTCGATGACGGCGAGCGTGACGTCGGACTCGCTGACGTCGGACTCGACGGCGAGTCTGGAGACGGTGACTGCGCGGTCGGCGGGCGACGGCGTCGATAAGCGATGGTCGACGGGCAGCATGTTCGGTGAGTACGCCGGCCTCGTCACCGACAGACTCCCCGAGCAGAACACGCCGAGATCCGCCGACGCAGACGACGACGCGAGTCTGCTGATATGCGAGGTCAAGCATCGCTGCCTTCCAACCGACGATAGCTCAACAGGTAATAATCGCGTGGAGTGTATGTTTATTCGATAGCTCAACAGGTAATAATCGCGTGGAGTGTATGTTTATTCGATAGCTCAACAGGTAATAATCGCGTGGAGTGTATGTTTATTCGATAGCTCAACAGGTAATAATCGCGTGGAGTGTACGGAGGAATTATTCAATAGCTCAACAGGTAATAATCGCGTGGAGTGTACGGAGGAATTATTCCATAGCTCAACAGGTAATAATCGCTTGGAATGTATGGAGGAATTATTCAAAGGTTTAGCACACAGCTCCGTCTTTTGGGGGAAAATCAGGTGAATTGTTGCGCGTCGGTGGGAACCAGCATGAGCTGTAGGAAATCCGGTACGGGCACGCGGGGAACCCGGTTAACTGTGTTAGTGTGCTGGCTGCTAAAAAACATGCAACGTGTTGGGCGATTTAAAACATACTTTCTGATTCCACTATTGTTTAACGACAGTGAAGTGTGAAATTGTCCAGTGTGTTGGTGCTAAGTTTAGCTTGGGGAATTACTGGTACTGTACAACACTGTGATGCCAAAAATGGAGTAATAGCTATTGAAGTGCCAGTACAAGGAAGCTGATATCCTTGTATATATTCTGTGCAGTGTGTACAGAATACAGACATGGTAACGATCTGTTTGTTATGTCATGATTGTAAATTACTGAATTCTTTTATAGATCTTGTTCATAATATAAATGTGACTGGCAAGATGAGTCTAGCTGACTACATGGCTACTGTCTGCACAATGGAGGAATTGGCAATCATGGATCCAAACACTCATGAAGTATGCCTATTACATTTCATGCATTTTGGTATATTGGTCAGACTAGTATCCCATCCGCTATCCTTAAATAAAAATCTGACACTTTAGTGTTGCAAAACATCCTATCTTTGGATATCAATGTGAACGAACACTTAGAGATTCAAAAACATGGCCTATTGATGCAGTAAAATACAGTATTTAATTAATGTGTACCATGTTATGCTAACATGGCTAATGCCCGATATTTCCTGCAGGGCTATACCATGATGTCAACACAGCTGGGTTTCAGTCATGTGCAACCAATTCGCAAGGATGGCTTTGCTCCAATCTGTGCTTGTTTATTTCAAATGGTTGCTACTGATGTACCCTTACTAAGCAGATTCTCCAGGCTAGACAAGACATTTAAGGTATGCTTGGTGAGAATGTACCACACCTTACATTACACAACATTTAGGTCAATTCAGGCTTTCCAGCAGTCCTTGACAATATTTTAGGGCTAATTTTAGGGAGAAATTAAGGTTTTTTTAGGGTTATTTTAATAATTTTTAGGGATGAATCGAAATATTTTAGGAATAAATTAAGTCGATTACCTTTCATAAACATCAACGTGTTAACGTACAGATACAGTTCTATGTGGTATGTGTCCAGTCTACCAGCTATTCCTATCCTCCAAATCCTCGGGACGACTGTACATCATCAAGTTTCATGCAAAATAGGCATGTCTTGTACATCCAGCCAGGAACAGGGTCGTATAATCAGACACTGAAGCTTAGGAATCACTGGTAGACTGAGAGTCACAATACTTACTCTGTATAAAGATAACTAGAAAACATCCATTAGCAGGGTCTCCAACCCTATGAACTCCAAATGCGGAATGTTCCCGCGGTGATCAGTAACAAGTGGCGTATTCAGAAATTGATGGGGGGCGTAATGTACCTTGGCTGCCGCAGGCAGGCCCGCGTGCCGTAGTTCAAAATTTTGAAATATTCAAGCCATTTTCCTGCAATCTGAGGCATACTGTGGGCCATATTCTCATGTCTGATAACACTATCTCAACCCTAGACTCAACCCTACAGCCCTTGGCTAATTAGCAGACAAACTACGCGACACCTTGCAGACAGCACCTGTCTGACTAGGCTGTTCCATTTACCGTAGACATGCCAGATACAAAATGCCTGAAAAAAAACAATGTGTCCAAGCGAACAATGCGAACAATCAGTGCAAATTTTTTACAGTGCAACTGAAATGATGAATATAACCTTGCCGCTGCAGAATGCGGAAATTAAGCCTAGAAATCGTAATGATTCCGCAGAATGAGGAATGGTTGGAGACCCTGCATAAGACATAATTACAAACCAAAAGTTCATTATCTCATCACCAAAAACTCCAAACATATCTGTGAAATTTTTTTTTTAGGAGTTTGAATAAAATTTTAGCCCTTTTTTAGGAATTTTAGGGCGAGCTCAAAATTTTAGGAATTTTTTTGGAATTTTATGGCCGCTGGAAAGCCTGTCAATTATTAGTTGACTAGCAGACTGGAAAATTTACAAAAATTAATTTTATTACCAGCTCTTAACAAAGCGTTTGTGAATGTGAACTTGTTGTATTGAGTAATTTACGTGTTGTAAGCAAATTATCATTAGGTAAATGTTACCTATTAATTCTGTTGTGTATCATATTACTAGGAGGTAGAAGACTTCAATTGGTTAGCAAAATGGAAGTTTGATAGCCAACTGGCACTGGTGGATAATAACGTCAGCACAACTCTGAAGCATTGCCTTTATTCACTGCAGAGATTGGTAACGTATTTTCTTAATGATATCACAGCATTAAATCTGATCAGAATGTCAGTTGTTATTAGGTGTTTGTGCTATAATATACTCTCCTAGATGAATAACTAGTGTGTTGAATCATTCTCCATGCATCATACCCGAGAATGTTCTGTAATTCATCATTGATATTTGATCTGCCATGTTCTATATATAGCTACTGGTTTTAGATGTCAGGTGTCAATGTGTATTCTAAATCTTTTGCTTACTGTGCACAATACGTAATGAGATTATCGCTATTTTCAGTCCAAAGTTCGGACCAATTCAAGTGGAATTCAAGAAGCGGGTCTCATAGAATTCTTCAATAGCAACCAACAGATGGTGCTGGAGTCGTTTGAGGCTGTGAAACTGCTCATGTTAGTAGATGCGGTGCGTCTACAGGCTGCCTGGCAGGTGGGACATGATGTGCCAACGTTTTATTGGTGCCTGTTTGGCCGGGAGACGTCATGTGATCCTGAGCACTTCATGATGAATCATCTCAACGGTCTTGGCAAAGCCAAATGCTTGCAACCTGTGAGTATTTTATGCTGTGCAATGTGTGAAATTCTGTAGTGCAGCTATAGGACCAATATTTGTAATATACTGCTTAACAATATAGCTGTTTTAAAGTTATTTTTTTAAACCAGAGGTCTCTGTAGTGCGACATAGGGCTTTAAAAATATAAAGAAAGAATCGAAATACTGCAGTGTTTTTCCTAGCCGTTTCTTAGCTGTATACTATTAATGTTACTCTAACCATATTCCCACTACAGATAATGAGAATGACACGTATTAACTATTCATTGCAGGTGGAATTGAGCTTGCTTGCATACACTCTGTGCATCAGATTAAGGGTTATCCGGCCACAGATGGATAGAACAGAGGAATACGCCGCGATTTACCCTGACTTTGGTGATGATCAACAACCAATGATTAACTTGCTAAAAGAGAACGAAAGCAGCTTCCTGACATTACTTCCATGAAGTACTTGCTATATGAGATTACTTACTGTGAAATATAGAGCAATGTTAAAATAGACAATCACCAATCTATGGAGAATTGTGACCCCCGGGGGGGGGGGCACTCCATATATATTACATGGTAGGTATGTGCCGCGGGAGAGATTTTTACATTTTTGCCGTTCCGGAGACCCTAGTTTTTAACATTGCCGTTCCAGTTCATCGTACTTCAGAATACGTTGAAGCCGGGCCATGAAGGCATGCATGCAACGCATGTGCATATGGATGGATGGATGGTCAGCTGCTGCTGCTGTTCTTGTTTATTGTGATTATTTCGACCCCCATTTTCGAACATAGCCAGTTCCAGAGCATCCCACATTCAACAAACGTTAGTTCCAGAGACCCCCATTTTAAGGTCTGAGTTAGTTCCAGAGCCCCCCATTATTTACTTCGCAGTGGCACATACCTACTATATTGTGGGGTGAGTGCCCCCCCCCCCCAGGATTCTGACACTAATGACTAAGTGAAATCGATTTAGATGTGTTAGTTTGCAGACATACATAATTGCTATGTAGCTGCAGCTCTATGAATGTAGATTTATAGTAAACCTATACTTGTGATTGTGGAGGTTGTCTATGGTGCTTAAATAGGTCAACTTCTTTTAAGAGAAGATCAATGTTAGATTATAATATAATCAGATAAAGATAGCACTAAAGAACTTGGTACTAAATATTTCAGTGACTAGACAGAAGATATATATATGGGCGTCATCAAAGCTGTGGTATTTTGAATCCCCGAAATGAATCCCTTAGTAAATATTCCCTAATATGGGGTTTCCTGTCTCTCACCTTTACCAGGTTTGATGAACATTTTACAGAAGTGATATTTGTAAAAACATTCAGCTGTAATTTTAACGGTAACTTTTGTAATTTATACAGGCATTTCATTCATTTGACTAGAATGCAGCCTGGTCAGTATCATGCTTTATTTCAGCACGCTTCTCTATGGTTAAAAATGTACTGCGACCATAATTGCCATACAGCTTTTAAATGTATAATTTTGCTTATCTGCATAGCAACATTTTTAATTTATTGTACATTTAAATAAGCATGACAATACTGAAAGCCGATACTCAGTATTCTCATTATTATAAGCTTGCTAGTCAGATTCTGAGGGAGTATTAAAGTTTGTATGACATAGTGACACTGCCTTCCTGATAGAAAAAGAAGTACATTGAGTTTAGACGTTTTATAGCATGTAATGTCAAGCGATATTATTTATATGAATTAAGTCAACAATTCAAATTTCTGCTGTACAAAATGTTAATTTGTGTGTATTTATTGTTTTATATACCAGTGATAGATACTAAGTAAATGCGTATTGCTATTACTTATTGGTGCTGTGAAGAGCAGCATTTGTTATTTCATATCTGTTAACGTTTTATGCGATTCCTAGTGATTTTAGATAAACCAGATGGCAGCACTGTATGGTGTGTGATTGCCTCACACATTGAACCTGCAACTTGTTGAACTTGGGATGTAAGTTTGTGGTTATAGACCTGTATATATGGGCTCGTATATAATCCAGCCATTCGATGCCACAGAGTGGAGTGAAGGCGACCTGCTTGTAAGAATGATGAAACTACCACATACGAAGTTCTTCTAACATCTGTTATAATTTATATGGATTTGATAGTTAACGTACATGTCTCGATAGTGTTGTTTTACAAGATGCAGTTTGCGTGTTTAATGGTCTTTGAAATATAAGTGTCTTTCAGTTCTATATGCTTTCAATATGTTGATATGTAAACATTTTTGTCGTAATGGCAGCTTATGTTATTTATGACAATATTGTATTTTAACCGTTAGGAAGTATTTATCAGTTAGTAATATAGAAAACTGATAGAATTAGCACTGAACTTGTAAACAGGCACAGCTAGCTAAAATACAACTTGACTAGCACAATAAGCACATTTTAAAACCATTATTTAAAAATGTGGAAATCTGGTATTATGCATCATATTTATTATAGCATTTGTTTAGGCATCCTCATAATGTAAATAGTTTATAGGTGATAAAAAATTGATCTGTTAATATTGCTTAGCTGAACTCAATTTGGTTAAATAAAAATGTTGTTAAAAGGATCTACTTGCATTTTCCATTCATCTGACAGAAATTGTGCATTTTGACACATAACATGAGAAGCCAACACAAAATCAATGTAGGGAGACACAATTTATTCTTGCCAAGGGTAAAACAATAGAATGTAGTTAACGGTATCTGCGCATCTGTGTGGTGTTGCGTCTCTTCCAGCATGCACGACGTGAACCACCGATCGTGGAGTGGTACCCGTGCCCCTTGCCGAGACCACGCGACTTCTTGCCAGCGGACGTGAGGCCACGCATCTCTCTGTGTTTCATGACGGGCGTGCAGATCCACTGCATTTCTGGGTTTCGACGGATTACCTTGTTGAACGGATCGACCATGATCACCTCAAAGATCTTGTATGTCGAATCCTGGCCGATCCAGTAAGAGTTGACGACACGCAGAGCACCACATCTACGTCCTGCCCGCTCCTGTAACAGCAGCAAACAATCTATGAGCACATGCCATGAACGCGGGTAGAGAATCTACTTCTCGAATATCCAGCTCTAACATCTGTTAACGTGGCACACTGCGTACTCTAATAGCAAATGATGACATCAACTTTAAAAGATCTTACCAGAGTAATGAGGAAAAAAACGGATCAAGTAAGCCAACCTAACCCACTCCTGGTTTTGACTAATATCCATGCCATTTGATCTGTCACACTTTCCACGAGGATTTGACAGCAGACATGTAACATATATTATGCATCTAGTATGCCAAAAACTACTATCATCAAACTAAAATCACCATCATTGCACAGTGCACACTAAGGATATTCAAGAGCCTACGACAGTGTATTTGGGAAGATCCAGGTGAACAACCTATACAAAGTGTAACAACCTATTGCCAGTAGGTTACATACAGATATGCAGAGTAAGACAAGACAGGTGAATGTCCCTGTAACACAAGGCAACTCTGTAGGATGCCACTACTAAAATGTAATTGCTGCGATCAGTGACCCCAGGAGTGCTTTGCCTGCTGTACTCAGAGATATCATCATCATCATGCAATGCATGCCATGAGGAATATTGAATTCAATTGACTTTTTAAACTTAAATTAACTAAAATTTAAACTTGAAACCATTAAATTTAAAGATTACTTCTACTCCAGTGTTCATGAAAAGAGTCTAAAATGTAATATAAAAAACCAATGCACCAAATTTACCATATTAATTACAATACAACATATACAACAAAAGATAAAATACATAGACCCCCATCAAATCTAGTAACTAATATATTTTCGAGAGGAAAAACTCCACATCTTGCATGATCTTATCTTGATCACTGATTCTAGGAAATGTTCTTTAAAGAATTCCACGTTCAATGATCTTCAAATTGTGTTAAGCTTATATTCCCAACCCGTATGACCATGTTTTAACAAAGATGCTTCACAGCAATTTTATTAAAAAAAAAGTAAGATAGCTAGCAAACGTTCAGCACTAGAAGCTGCTGTTGGTGTATGTCACTAGTATCATGCAGCGCTCAGTTGGGACACTGGTATTTAAGCAGCGGCTGTCAGCCCGACTGCCATCAGCGATTACTTCACGATATGCGGGCAATCACCTTACAGGGGTAGTGTACGTACACGCATGCACGCACGCACGCACGCACGCACGCACGCACATGCATGAAGGCATGCAATTTGCCGTAAGCAATATTTTGTATAACGAACTTTCGAGCAAACACGTGTATTTTACGCGCCATTTCTAACAGCGAATCTTGCTAATCTGCCTGCAATGCCCTCCGAGAGAGCTACGCGCATCAAAACAACAACGGCGATGACACTCTGATCCATGTGAAGGCCAAGCATCCAACAGTTCTCGTGTTATTTGCAGAATTCTGGATTAGGAACCTGGGCAGAGTGCCAAAAGTCACGTAACATGATAATACCAGTAACGCCAAATTTCATAATTCCTACTGCATGCATACTAGTGGTGTGCACCGGGGCTCCCTCTGGATTTTTTAAAGTTTGAGCCAAGACTTGCGCAACAAGTTATTTTTAGTCTCCATTAAAAAACTATAGCCACCGTTCACTTTAACGTATGTGCTAAGCAAGGCATAAACAAGTGATGGGTATGGGAAAAAGAGGTGCACAAAAACATTTTACGACACGACACTGCAATTTGACGATTTCATTATTTCATCGTAATTTTTAGCAGTGAAATCATTCGCCAAGTGTATTGCCACATAGTGTAGCAAAATCGCCGGCTATTTATTTATCACATTCTGCAAAGGTGGAGAATGCAAGAAGTATCCCGGGTGTGCCTGATCAGGAATTTCCTCAACAACATCTCCTTGTTTGCTTTCATAACTGATTACAATGCTTTGAAGATATTATACGACTAGTTGTCAACCTCTATTCTCATACACATACCTATACCTGTTAAATTTACAAGTTTAATGGTAGTGCATGTTTTATTTGAACAGTCTAGTTCCTAAGCAATAATGATCATTAATTAGTCCATCATCAGTCCATCATTTCTGGACAAATTCCTAACAATAATGTATACTAGATAGGAAAAAAGTCTCTGAATATTCTCATGTTGAATCACAGTACTGTCATCATGTCCGATATAATAAATAATACATCATTGTTAATTGAATATATATATATAATTGATCACTCCCCATGCACATGTAAGTCCATACCTGCTTGAAGAATGCAGGCCTAACAATGAACTCTTGCCAACCCTATTATGCCTTCTCCTCAACATTAACATTTACAAGAAAGTTACTTATTCTTAGTATTTTACATTAAACATCGCAGCAAAACGGATACGACATATATAATGTAATAATATGGAAAGCAGGTTTATGCTCCACAAGAATATTAGCTGTCATTAGTGTTGTCAATCGGTTGTAATTTCGTAATCGATCATCGGTTGGACCCAAGTAACCGATGATCAGTTACAATCGGTTACTCGGGGTGTTGAATGCCTGCGTGTGCGTAAAGTCGTGTGCATGTATGTGCTTGTTTAGCCCTGTTTACTGTTTGTTTTTGCACTGTTTACTACTGTGTGTATAATACATGTATGTTAATAAAGGATAACTTGTATAGTAGCGATGATATCTCTGATTCTCATCACTTTTCCAAGTTTTCTTGTTCAAGTTTTACATTTACTTTGATTTTTTCCCCCCGATGAAATCGATTATGGATTTTGATAACCAAGCGCTTGGTTCAAGCCACTGTTCAACCGATGATCGAGTATAATCGATGACCGTGACATCACTAGCTGTCATGCACTGATAACGTCAGATTAAATGAAAAACAAAGTGATAAATTATACGGAACAACCCAATACAAACTATAAGAAATCTACCAGTACAAAACCTAACAACATTCTAACTCATTATTCAGTGCTAAACATTCACAGACATTAAGCACATCATCACTATAGACAGTCTATTTGTACGGATACCTAAACAATGTTTCATAAAACTGTACATTATTTCTCATACAATTAACAATTTCACACATCTCCCTTACCTCTTTCTCTTTTGTTAAAATACTATTAAATTTAAAGAAATGATATGTAAATATCAATGATCATATAAACAATGATCAAACTTTTGTTTCTAAATATACTGAAAGCTTGTCCTAATGTGCGTGAAAGATATAAGAATAAACAGAAATAACTTCTCCCATTAATAATAACTTTTTTTAAATAGGTACCCAGGTAAACCCTCTTCCTGTCAATGTGTCATGTGAATCTATATAGGATAATGGTAATACATAGTACTACCAAATATGTATCACATACAAACAATCCTTTAAAATTCTGTGCATGTCACCATCCTGATAAGCACTACTATTGTCTATATAATAATGTGCAAGCTTTATTGTTGCATGCACACATCTCATGACAAGCTGCCAACTTGATGACCAGTGATCATTCTGAACATTCGACTTTACCTGGAAATCCAACCAGCATGATCGCAGTTGCAAGAGCAAAATGCCTTTCATATTAGCAAAACAACTGCTTTGCCGAATAGCAAGACAAACTCTGTTCAATCACCCATCAATATCCTCATCAAACCAGTTAAACCAGTTGGCCTTACATGACAATCTTCTCTAAAGCTGTTTACACTGCCGCGTACAATCCCTCCTTAAGACGGAAAACGTGATGGTATAAGCCATTGTGTTCACTTCCCTGCAATAATACCTGTAAACACATTCTGCTCATTATTTGTCAAGCATACCCAAGCTATACAATTGAACACATAAGCATGTAACAGTAAGAAATCCTAATTTATTTTCACCCTACCTATTTAATGATTACTGCATTGTACATAATCTTTAAGAACGAAAGACAATCAAAATAGAAAATTATGACAATCCAATCCAATTATGGCAATTCATCAGCGGTGTCGATACACAATAGATGCATGATCTAAAATAATCAGTCCGACCCAAAAGGTTGCTAAATCCAAGAACGATGAACAAACATGGCATCTGCTTTCTAAGTAACCACTCAGCAGTCTCAACACCTGGTCACATCACTGAAGGTCAAAGCCCTATGACTGCCCACCAGTGGACCTTATAAGTCTTTCCTGGAAAACTCTGTCTCAGGGGTAACAAATACCAAAACGATGGCACAAGCCAAAAACACATTATTGCAATTAACACCGACTTTATCTGTCTGCCGGCAACAAAGGTGGGACAGGTCAAAGGCCTGATGAGGATCCTGCTTGTCTGCTGCTGCTGAACAACAGATGAAAGAGCGGGCAAGAGGACCTGCAGTGACGCAAACCAGTCAACTGCCAACCAGTCAACAATGAGCACGTGACTTGTAAAGCGGGAAGATGACATCATCAGGTGGCAGAGTTGATAAACAAGTGGGTCTCTGAGTCACTGACCTCTGCCGCTCTGTTTAGCAATTGTTCTTAGATGGATTGCATGTAGAAATTTGCATAAATTTGTATAATTAACATGTGTAACATATATTTGCCAAGATTAGTGTTTGGATGTGCAGACGTATATATATATCTTAATCTAGAGTGAAACATTTATTCCAAGGTAAAAGTTTACCCACCCTGCTACCAGAAAATCGCAGTCACTAAATATTTTTAATGACGTTTTGCAACAGCAAAGTATCATGGAAAATCAATTAAAACCATGGCTAGTTCAGTCACCAACTCTTAAATGCTCTCTAAAAAACTTAAAGACCTCTTATACCATACTCCTGCCAATCTTGATAACAAATCTGTTGCGAAAAAAAACATAAAACGACAATGTTGTTTCGATACATTGCACTCACAAACAAGTGGTCACTGACCCACACGGGAATGGCACCCCCCCCCCAACATAGCAATAAAAAGACTCCATCTTACCGTTACATGAATAAAGCACTCTCGTGATGCAGAATTCAAGTTAACAATGTTCGAAAGCGCTAGGTAACGAGGCATTATGTACTAAATGTCTTTGTTAGCGAGATCTATTACTTTTATTGGCGTTTCTAAAACTCAGCAGTAGGCACATTTGCCAAACATATGGAACAGACAATTAGCACATTGATTACCTGTATAAGACAACAATGAATGATGCACTACCTAATACTGGTAAACAACCTGGTCACTGACCTTAACGGTCATGTGAGGTGAGACAACACCACGCGCGCGCACGCACGCACACGCACACGCACACGCACACGCACACGCACACGCACACACACACACATATATATATGCATATATATATATCTCAGATATCTATATAACTCACTGTCTTCATCTTCATCCATTTATGTAAATATATATATTTCATATTTTACATTCTATATTTTATATATATATATAGTCTAGACATTCACTAACCATCAATATACCATTTCACCCTAACTAAAACATTTCACATACTTCCTCAAGATACTGCAGTGTTCATAAAGTCCCAAGTGTTTACTAAAATCTTAGATACTTTTTAAATTACATGACTTCACTACAGAAGTGTAAGGAGTGCAGCTTTAGGTGTTAGCTGTATCAACATCAAATTGGATTTGAAAGCAAGAAATGAAATGTGCGCATGAAAAAGAAACCGGCTTTACTTCATGGTTCATACAGGACTAAAAAATTTTTCAAGGACTTTTCAAGAACCTTTCAAGGACATTTTATCGGAAATTCAAGGACATTTTATCAGACATTTTATCTGAATTCATACACAGAACAAAACATACCTGGATTAATTTAATAACCACATTCTTAATCACTGTCACCTCTAAAACTTACCTGGATCACATTAATAAACCCTTCTAAACACTGTCACTTCTACAACATACCTTGATTTACTGACTGATTTTACTGACTTACTGTAATTTGTGATCATCATTTTACTGTCTATCGTGTCTATAGCGTTTTAAGCTCATTTAATGCAATTTTTATTGAGGTTTGCACATTATTGATGGTACAAAATTTCTTTTTATTACAGGCAAGGAATCTTTCTAAAAATTCAAGGACTTTTCAAGCACAAAATCAACATTTACTAAATTCAAGTACTGTTCAAGGACTCCCCTCAAATTCAAGGACTGTGCGAACCATGTACTTCAAATAAGCTTAACTAAATACCAATTCAAAAGTATAATACCTCGGCAACGCTCTGCAAACTACGCTGAAGCTTCATCTGGTTGACACCTTGATGGGTGGGCTTGCCATATGTCGCACCCTTAGCCACTGGCTTCTTTCGACCACCACGGCGAATTCGCACACGGTAAATAACGTAACCTGAAAGAGAAGAAATCACCTGAGTGACACCACTGAACTATGAGGTACAAAATTTCGAGATAAACCAGAAACAGTGTTCAAAAAAGTACTTACACTCCACAGCTCTCTTGACGTGATTATGTGAAACGTGTGCCGCAAAATAATATACTTTATTATGCTAATGGTAATTTTCTACCCACTGCTATCATGCTATTACAAGCGATTGAAATCATGCCTAGATGTATTACAAAAATGACAACCTAAATATAGTTTTGCTTTACAACCCATATTGCCAAGGTGACTGGTTTTGGATCATTTGTATAGAACAAACCACAATGAAAATCAAAACCGATTACTCTGATCCAGGGTCGGCATGACCACCACGCTGGCTGGCTTTATCTAGTTTTCGTTCACAAGTGTCACTGGCCTGCATTGTATAATAGTGCCAATTCCTAGGCTCAGAGATGGGAGCTGCATATTGGTGGGGGACCTGCTAAATGTGTTATGCAATTCACAGCATGTGGTGCGCTGCAGAGCAGGCATAAATACAGACGCAGAGTGCAGCTTGACAAACAGAAAGACACATAGCTACAAGCAGCAGCAGCATCACTACTGCACGGGAGCACCAAACCAGACTTTGCACACAGCAGACTCCTCTTGGCTTACATTCTGCACTGGGAGCAAGGCTTACAGCAGCTCAAGACGTCAGTGGCCTCTCACCCAACCTATTCTCACCGGTAAGTTCACATTTTGGGATCTTGAAATTTGAGTGAATTTTAGTTGTGTAACTTGTGTACTTATAACAGACGAAAGATTTTCAGATACAATATGCATTGTAAATCACGTTTCATTTAAAATATTTCACACCTCAATCATGCACACGTTTAAACCACCGAATCACACCAGACCTGATGCTAGCTCTCGTTCTTTGCAGCAAGGCTTCGAGCAATCCGTCATCACCATGTCCCCGCTCACAAGCACACTGCTCAAGGAGTCTGTCAAAGCCCTACGACTAGTCGTCAACTCTCCGGGCAATGCAAAAATGTTCAGCGCTGCCATGCTGGCCGCGAGCATCGCGTTGCCGCGTGTGTCGATCGCCGAGGAGAAACTGCTTGAGATGGCGCGACGGCAACTATCGGATGCGTCTACGTCGTCGAGCAAGGGCTTCACGTCGTACGAGTCGAAAATAATGGCCGTCATAGTTCTGCACCAGCTCAACATCTCACTGCAGCGATTACGCACGGAAGCTCCAGCGCACTTCTGCACGTACATCCTGGAGAGGCCGCTGATTTGAAATAGACCACAGCAAGCCCAGTCGCTCGATGTTGTAGCACGAGCAACATTCACCAATCAGAAGTGCAACATATAGTATTTGTAAAGTTTTTTGGGTGGTGATTGACATGTGTATGCTATACTAGCACTTACAAATAGTGAAAACGATCAGTTGTTTATACCAGATTCTACTGAATGTTCATGTACAAATCTATGTATAGCTTGCCTATATCTTGAAATTGAGTTGAACACAAAGCTGTAATGTCATGTAAATTCTTTTTTTAATTTTGCAGTTTATAATACTGGTTAGATGTTAGGTTTTTAAATGATATTGATGACACTAAACATGTTTAATTTATTTATTCCCTTACCAAAATGTATGCAGATGCTAAGATTTGACGTCCCGAATAATTCAATATCTGACAGAAAATCTTTAAATTGTAAATTATATATTAGTAATTGAAACAAGCTTTTTGTGCTCAAATCATGTCTAGATAGTCTATTTACCTGTACTTTGTAAATAATGATTTTATTTTGAATACATTTGTCCCAGATCATGTGAAAAATTGAATCCTTTGTATTGATTTTCTTTACTCAACAAGCACCCAATAACAGTACTTAGTATAAACAATAGATGAGATAAAAAATACTTTGAATTTAATATAACTTCCTAAATAAAGACAATAATTTCCTATGATAGCATATATACAGTGGTATTCTAAACAAAGGGCAGTTGGTGCACCCCCCTCCCTAACCAAACCGTACCAGTCACAGACACAAATGACCCACTCATCTATTGGAGCACTGCACAGCTGACCTGATTAAAGCTAATAATAAGAACATGACAGCACACAGGCCCCTGCAGTTTAAATGTGGCCCAGACGCACCAGCAAGAAATGCTCACATTCAGTGAATAGGCACTGGCAATAGAATAAAGTTAGAGCAGTAGGGGAGCCACGATACAACAAAGCCTTCAATCGCATTTACAGATGCCTAGACAATGAACTGAGATGGCTGGGGTCATCTAAAATGTAGGTCAGCACTATAGATGCTTCACTCCACCAGCTAAGGTTTATATAACATGTGTAGCATGTGTGTACCGTGGACATAATATTGTGTATAGAGCAGCTTAAGTAGCAATATTGTGCGCGACCATTTTCAGTTAAAAACAATTAAATTAATTCTAAAATATTATTCTCACCTATTAGTGAATATACTACTAATTAAACCAACTTGAAAATTACTCAACATTTATGCGGTTACAGGGGTAGAAATTAACTTTTCAACAAGGGAGTCCGCAGCAAAATGAGGGAGTCCGCAGTCTGAGGTTCAAAATTAAAGATATTAACAATAACGCATACGTGTGCTTATTTTTAAGATTCATGCGGTTGCACGTCTGCCAAATTTTCTTTGCACATTAGCTGAAAAAATACAGTAATACAAAAGGCCGTGCTCCGGAACGAACTAGTCAGTATGGAAGAATTTTCAGGGAGTCACACAGACTCCTGCGTCAAATCAGGGAGTCCGACAGTAAATCAGGGAGTATTTGACTCCGGACTCCCGTTAATTTCACACCCTGCAGTTATAGTGCATAAAATAGCAATGGATCATATAACAATATTGCAACAATATTTTTGAGTAATCAGACAGTTCATTTATAAATGGCATGCATCTACATGTGCCATATCTGTCAATGCATCTAAACGAGAGTGATGCAAGCTGTTCTAGACTAGTACTTCTATAAGTAAAGCTATCCCAGTAGTACCTCTATATAGGCAAAATTAAACAAAAATACCATTAGCAAATTGTAGAAGAAAGCTACCAGTACCAGTTCAAACTGTTCTTAATGACAATCTTAGAAGATACAACTCATGTGACCTCAACACTTAATTAGAAGTTCTCCTGAAATTGTAATTGTTGTATATATTGGTGAATATATAATGACGTATGGTAACCCAAACCATATCGGTAATTACGGAACAGCCAAAAAAAAAGAAAGAAATAATCCGTTGAACAATTTATAGCTTTTTTTTTTTGGCTGTTCCGATAATTACCGGTATGGTAACCGGTACGGTATGGTTGGCACCTTGGAAAGCACCAATAATAGAATGCTGCTGACACTTACACTAGTATGATTCACATGACATATCCCTGAGATTGAGGACAAATTTACAAATTTAATACAAATTCAGTTCATACAAATAAATGTAAATTTCAGAAAGTAATAATACGATCAATGCCTACAAGTGACTGGCGATTGTAGTTTTGCTACACCCAAATACAAATCCTAACAAGGCATTACCTTTGCAAAATAATAAATACAACATTTGGTCAGGCGGTGTACATTGCCACCAGAACTGTGCTGCCATCTGTAGCACAAATTAACACACATTTCTTCTACTTACTGATTAAAATACATTTGAAAATTACTACAAGGTTCTCAAATAACGTAGAAAAGTGACCGAGCAAAAAAAAACTATAAATGTTTTTCTCATGAAACCCAGACTCTACACTCCCTCCCTTATAGCCACCCTTTTGACCTCAGAGTGCACTCAATCGTAGTTTGTTCAGAATGCAAGGAGCGCGACACTCTTAAACTACCACTATATATAGCAAAATTAAATATTTCCACCAATGCACTTTGTTTCATCAATCAAAGGTACATTAAAATTAAAGTTTGTAAACCCAATTCATCCCAACACATATATATACTTTTCTAGCACATGTGTATGTTGGAAGTCGAGGAAAAATATGTTGTGATAATAAATAGGGAATGTGAAATTATGTTACTAATATACTATATAGTATAGAGTTTCAACCTTTTCATTATTCACTTTTTACCAAATAACAACGTGTATGGCCTTAATCCAAGTGGTACCTTAGAATTAAGTCCCATGACTTTTCCATGACCATACACGATAGCCTTTTTTGCTATGCCTTTCCATGACCGACAGACCCTGTCACTGCTTGCAACTTCTCTGTGATGCCACTATCCCCTAAATAATGCATTCTAACAAATATTTCACCGTTCTGCTTCTGACATTTTTTCTTAAGACGATTCCTGACAGGTCAATATGTCATACAAAAAACAATTTCACCTTATGGTGTTCAATCTAATAATTTTCAGCTTAATATAAACAAACAAAAAATTATAATGGAAAAAAAAATTCTTTTAAACCAGTTATTATAACACTGCTGCCTACTTAAGTCCAAATGCCACCTATTGCAGCTACTCCCAGCAGGCACAACAGACCTCTCTCAGCACCCATACATTAAAAAACAGATTTGTTTCCCATTCATCACTAATTGAGATAAGACTTATAAAGTAGACAAAAAAGACAGAATCAATGCAAAAAGGCCAGCTTATATCAGAATTGAAGTGTGTTATCACACTTCGAGTCTACATTTGTTCTATTGTAGTGTGGATTAATCCCCAATTCACACTTAATCTGCTAAGACTGCCCAAGTTCTTGGTAATCACAGCAGGGTACTGCATCAGACTAAACATCCATGTGCCTAAAGCCGGGCGCACACGTGGCGATTTTTATCGACAGTACTGGCGATTTTGTTGGCAGCAACAAAATTGCCGAGAAATCGCCACGTGTGCGCTGCACGCTGATGGCAATTTTGACGCCAGAAACTCGTTGCTGGAATATCAAACACGTTTGATATTTGTTGCCAAGTCGCTGAACAATCGCTACGTGTGCGCTGCACTGGCGACGGATTCAGACAACAGTTTTTGGATTAACCAATCAAATGCATGATTTGAAGCACGTGATCAAATATGGCAGCGCCCACGTTCGTTTTCCACATGCTAAACGTTCGTTTGGTGCAATGGATTTCCGCATCACTGTGTTCTTCTTGTCTATCCTTGCCCCCCACCAGTGTCAGAATTGCATTGAAATGTTCTTTTTTCATTCTAAAATAACGCTGGTATGTCACTGAATCTTCAAGCTCCAGTTTTCTTACTAAATTATTAAAAACACCACGCGAATCACGTCTCAGCACCCATGTACGTGCCCATGTACGTCTCTCTCTCGCTGCTGTCTGTCGACGACGCCAACGCATAATTATTATATATATTCCAATAACTCGAAGAACGGCTATCGTGGTGTCAATGAGCGCTTCCATTTTGAACAGGTCACGTACAGTTCATACAGTGGTATGTTGCTGACAGATGGTTGCATTGTTGCCGGGTTCCGCACGCACGTGGCGATTTTGTCGATAAAAATCGCCACGTGTGCGCCCGGCTTAAGGCATTGCCTAAACACACTTTAACATGTAGGAACAAGGGCATACATTAATTAACCATTATTTATGCTGAATAAATTTGCCTTGACCCTCATCGTTTGTCTCAGAACAGTATAGGTAAGTCTACACAGATGATTCTGCGACTAAGCCTTAACCTTATGTCATCACAGACAACATGTGCACCAAGAACATCATAAACACGTATAACTAAAATATACAGCGAGTCATCCCTTACAAGCCCACTATGGGTATAGAATTTGCACTGTTGACAATTAATGAAATAACTGACACCTTGTGTCGTTTATAAGTAAATAACCTTACCACCAAATTCATATTAGGCTGTTCAACGTTAAGGCTGGTTACTCAGGGTTAGATACTAACCATTTTAGTTCATTAGTCCACAGGACTAGTAAAAGAAAAAATGTACTAGTCCTTCCAAGATTCTACTAGTCCTGCCGAAGGACTCTTACTAATCAATCAATCAATCAATCAATCAGGTCGTCTCCTCGGGAAGAATGGTGATGTCATGCCAGGATGGTCTGTGCACCATAATTGACCAAATTTCATCGGCTGACTGCAGGCCAGTTGGTCGATGTACGTCAGTCGCTGGCCGCCCCGAGAAGCCCGACCCTGTTGAGGTTCCCAGAGAACCAAGTCGTGCACGGCAACATTACAGTGTCGAACACAGTGCCCCGCCAAACGCAATCTTCTCGATCGTATCTTAGAGGAGAGCGGTGGTAGTTCCCCATAAAGCACCTCATTCGGAACACGATCCTGCCAGGTGACATTACATACTTTTCGGAGCATACTCGTGTAGCATCCATCAAGTCTGGTCTCGTCTCGTACTGTTAATGTCCAGGCCTCGCATCCGTAGGTGAGAATTGATTCTACCGAGGCAACGAAGATACGCTTTTTTAGCCCTTCCGCCATATTTGAGTTCCAGATGTTGTTCAGCTTGTGGAGCACACACCAAGCCTGGGCCTTTCTCATGCCAATATCTTTACCTAACGAGCTGATATACGAGCCTAGGTAGTAGGTACTTGAACTCAACCTTGACAGCTAATATTTCACCATTGAGATTAGTCAGCTCTACGTTATCCAGGATGCTAAAGGGTACTACCTCGGTCTTTTTAGTATTCAAGGATAGTCTTCTTTCAAGTTTCTAGTCAAGCTTTCTGCATTGAGTCTCCACACCACATAGCAATTCTTGAGCTTGGTTCACCGAGTCACTTGATAGTGCAATATCGTCAGCAAAGTCATGATCCGTTATCATGACAAGGCCGACTCGCCTGCTCCGTCTTGGGTAGATAGTACACCCGAGCTCTTCCTCGCGGCCATTTATTGCTTTGCGTAAAGTATAGTCAAGGGCTATCACAAACAGGTAAGGGGGGGCTAAGGTGTCGCCTTGGAGGACACCTACTTCGATATTAAACATGTCTGTTCTTGTCAAGCTGGCACAGCTTGACGTAATCGGTGTAGGGCCTGCCGTTTTTTCCAATAGCATGTGCATTTCTAATTAGGATATTCAGTTTTGTTATTATGGTCTTGTTCATTAAAGTTAACTAGTGGTTTTGCCCCCACTGTTTCGTGAACAGGCATGGTCCTTGCATTTCTTTTTGCTATGATCTTTATGTGCCTCGGAAGCATCATGCGCTTTAACAGTTTCCAAACGATAGTTTGTAGTGCCGGTGAAAAAACTACCAGACATACAGCCTGCACCACAGGTCATACCCTTGGATGGGTCATACTCTAGATAGCCACCGGTATGACGATTTCCAATGCTGGCTGGAACGTATGCATCCTTTTAGTCTTATCATATACACGCTGGCCATCTAATTTCTCCTCCTGCGACTTACGTTTGGGAGATGGAGGACGAGTTAGTATTGGATAAGGATGTACCTACTACTATGCTTCACTACTTGTATCACTACTATAGATAACTATTTGTATCGACTGCTTCAAGTAAAACACGCATGCGATGTGGTTGCGATGTAAATACCTCGCTATGAGAGCGTATAACTGATTAGTTGTGTCATTTATTCGATCAGACCGTTTGTTCTATGTCAACAGCTACTGTCAAGCAATCGATCGGTAGACTGGTTTGTGGCCCCATTGCTTAACAATGTTTGTACTGTCATAGGGTTTAGCATGCAGAGTGTGCTAGCGTCTACTTGTACTAGCGCGTCTAACAGGAAAAACTTGTTGATGGCAACGAGTTATATATAGCTCTTTGGATCTTGCTTGAGAGAAGCTGCCGCCGGGGACTATAGTAAAATCGATGGGAGGATGGTAAATTGGGACTATGAAGGATGGGGAAAATAACTTCCGCAAGACTAACGGCTATGGAGCATTTACTAGTCCTTCTTATTTTTTACTAGTCTCGGACCACCGGACTAGCATTAGTGTCGAACCCTATTACTAATAAAAGCGCAATTGAGAATAGTTTGCATTTATTGCCACTGTTGACACTTCCAAATTGCATCAATGCAGATGCAACAGGTTTCTACGCCATGCACTTTCGCGTGCATGCTGGGCTCATTACTTGACTGGACTACCAATCTTTGCTTCTATTGCTATGATTACCACATGATCTGTATAATTTTATAGGAATGTTGCCAATCAAAATTTGACTGAAGTTTATGCTTGGTTGTTGATAAACAACATTCACGTAAGTATTTTTGGTAAACAGCATTGCAACTTGACAAACTATTAATTTGGCAGTAAGGTTATAGACTTATAAATAACACAGTCAGTTATTCTATAAATTTTTAACAGTGTGAATTAGATAGCCACCTTTTCCTTTAGCCAGGTTTTCGATTATACATAGATAATGTATTCTGTACTATATTTTGTTCCAAGCCTGACCTCAGTTTTGAGTTTCACTAGTTTAACTGTCAGAGAACTGTCTCCAATTTTGAAACTACATCAAAAATATTTTTACGGTTACCTACTCCTTTAAACCCGTCTTCAAATGCGTAGTTCTGTAAGCAGGCATTCAACTACCATAAACATTCATCAGAATCGTCACCCACTGGTCTCCTTATTTTTGATATTACAGCCTTTACAGGTTAATATTAAAAGTAACACCTATCTAAAATTAAAAAAATTAAAAATTCTAACGTTAGGTGGTTATTGAACAAAGGGGATGTATAGCAAGTCCTCAGCTGCAGCCGTGGAACGTTACCATCTGTCCCAACTACTTTCAATAACCCTCTAGTCTACACTGACATACCCTGCTTGGCCTTGTATCCAAGGCGCCTCGCCTTGTCTGGGCGCGTAGGACGTGAGGCTCTGTGTAAGTTGCTTAGCTGTCTGTACTGCCAGCACCGGACTCTCAGCAGAAAGCGCATGACGTCGCTCTGCTTCTTGCGGTACATCTCTTGGATGTACTTGTAGGCCCCCATCTTGAGATACCTAATAAGCAGTTTCAAAAGTAAAATGCACGCGTTATTATATAGACATGGCCTTGGGAGCAATTTACAGACTTTTTAATCAGCAGAAATTGTTGTCTCAGAAGGTAGTGTCTACACAGAAGATTCTGCGACTAAGCCTTGAGTTATCATCATCAACAACAAAGATTTGGTACAAAGAAAGATATAGTTATGTGCACATTTACTAAATGTAGGTGGGCGCACACACATTCATGTGACATTTAGGTAAGGCATTTATTAACAGAACTGCCGTAATGGAGTTAATTATGAGTGTCTATTTTCTACATTAAACCACGTATGACCATACATTGATAGAGTACCAGTAGTGCAGTACCATGATACAGCTTAAATAGTAATGTGGTTGGGTGGAAATGCAATGGTTTGTAAAATACCACCACACACACATCACATATCATGTTTGTGTGTGCGTGGTGGTGGTGGAGGGAGGAGGTTGTAATTAGCGAACACAATGTTATTTACGTACGAGGGTGGACATAATGACAACCCCCTTGGCCGTAGCGTAGTTACGCTCATAGGGTCTATGTCCCCCAGGGTACTGCCAGAACGTACCCTGGGTACGGTCCGGTATACCGGAACGTTTATATTCCTTGGTCTACTTATTTTGATATGGTTTTAGGTGTATGTGTTTAGTGATTAGGTGTTAGGGGATGTATGGCGTATGTTGTCGACTCCCTAGACTCGTTTAGTGGAGTTAGGCTTGATGGTACGGTTCGGCATGAGTAGATAGTGAGTACGCAGGTAGCGTTCCGTGTATTATTTTGGTGGGCGGCGGATCCGGGGTAACCTAGGGGTAGCGTTCCGGCAGTACCCAGGGTGGACTTATTATGACCTCTCAGCGTGAGTTTGTGCCTGGGGATACAGCTGCATCATAAATCGCCTAATTTTATTGTTACTACTAGAAGTGGAGCAGCATTTATTACCTAGGATCAATAACCAATATTTTATTAGTACTACCACTAATCAAATATATGAATGAGTATACATAACTGGTGTCGAAAAAGCCTATTTTCCTAGGTTTACGCGAACAGACGTAAACACGTATATATGTACATCATCACACAGCTTCAAATGCCACAACCAATACACTAATAATTAGAAAACAGTAATGAATTATTTTTAACACAAAGTGCTCTTCGATACTAAAGCTCGAAGGACAGGCAAATTATATTGAAAGATGATTCTTTACAGATTGAGTTCTATTAGATTGAAATAGCTTATAGGACATACGGTTTACTCTTCTTGCTCGCCTCTAACCGAAAAGGCCGCTTTAAACATACATAAATAATAAACAAGATTGCCTCATTCAATTTATCTATAACGTACTTGCTTATTATTTTATTATCATAATTTTATTAGTTATAGATTTACACACATTGTAGCACACACATTAGCCTAATCAAATATTAGATATATATAGTTGTATTAAATAATTTAAAAAATTGTACACAAGCAATGCATAAGTAACTTGTTACAATACAATTTTATCAGATCGATAGTGTTAAGCCGACTTATACTAGCAGAATGGGGTGTGTGTACACTGGCTCGTACTTCGTGTAATTGTTTGTTATTGTGATTACAATTATACTACTTTCTGTCTTTGTACTACTAGTCTATGCCTAGGTTTGTTGGGCACCTTCACATCCCACGTAGCGCGACATTTCCTGCAGTAAATGGGCCAGGGCCTTCACATTGGACAGTAAATTAGTTGTGTAGCTTAAACAGTGTAATCCGATTTCACATTGTCACTCACTGTGCTGGCATTTGATTTGGTTAGTGACGGGTAACAGCCACAGCTAGTGAGGCGCAGGCACGGCACTTGGAGCATTTCATAAATATAATGCTAAATAAATCGAAAATCTATTTTACTACTGAAAGTCTTAATGTTTTCTATATCTAACCTCTCTTCACGACTATTATTTATTGCCGACATTTCCTGTAATTGCGTCCAAAGGCTCATCTATCATACAAACACTGGGAAGACGGAGGAGGGGAGGAAGGTGATGGAGTAGGGGGCAGGAGGAGGAGGCAGGGGAGAAGTGGATAGGCCCAAGGATAGAGATACATGTCTCCAATAAAACCAATGTGCCTTAAAATCCCTAGACCCTAACCGCTAATTTCTAACCCTAATCTAACCAACCTCACAACGCCTATCCTGAACCCTAACCTCTAACCCTAACCTATTATATTTGATGGTAATTATATATTTATATTGATGTAATAATTACATTGGTTTTAATGGGGAGCCCATGTTCTCTATCCTTGAACCGGTGATAGAGATCGAATGAAGACGGTCATGGAGGAGGAGTAGGGGCAGGAGGAGAAGGTGATGGGGTAGGGTCAGGATGAGGGGAGAAGGTGATGGAGTGAGGGGGAGGAGGAGGGGAGAAGGTGATGGAGGAGGAGGAGGAGGAGGGGGAAAAGGTGATGAGTAGAGGGCAAAGAGGAGGGGAGAAGGCGATGGAGTAGTGGGGCAGGAGGAGGAGCGGAGAAGGTGATGGAGATCGAACATAAAGGTCATGGAAGAAGGAGGAGGAAGGGAGAAGGTGTATGGAGTAGGGGAGCAGGAGGTGATGGAGTAGGAGGAGGAGCGGAGAAGGTGATGGAAGATCAATGAAGACGGTCATGGATGAGGAGTAGGGGGCAGGAGGGAGGAGGGGAGAAGGTGATGGAGTAGGGGCAGCAAAAGGGGAGAAGGTGATGGAGTAGGGTGAGGAGGAGTGAGGGGAGAAGGTGATGGAGTAGGGAGGAGGAAGAGAAGAGGTGATGGAGTAGGGGGAGGAGGAGGAGGAGCGAAGAAGGTGATGGAGACTGAATGAAGACGGTCATGGAGGAGGAGTAGGGGGCAGGATGGGGAGGAGGGGAGAAGGTGATGGAGTAGGGGAGGAGAAGGAAGGAGGAGGGGAAAAGGGGTGGGAGGAGGAGTAGGAAGGTAGGATCACCTCTCACCTCTTGCTCATGCTACTTACTGTCGGCCCTTCCTCCTCCTCCTCCTCCTCCTCCTCCTCCTCCTGCCCCCTACTTCTCCATCACCTTCTTCCCTCCTTCTCCTCCAACACCTTCTCCCCTCCTCCTCCTCCTCCCTCCTGCTTGCTACTCGTCCTCCTCCTCCTCCCCCTACTCCAACACCGTCTCCCCACCTCTTCCTCCTCCTCTTCCTCCACCTACTCCAACACCTCCCCTCCTCCTCCTCCTGCCTCCTACTCCATAATCTCCCCTCCTCCTCCTCCTCCTTCCTTCCATCACCTTCTCTCCTCCTCCTCCTCCCCGCTACTCTATCACCTTCTCTCCTCCTCCTCCTCCTCCTCCTCCTCCTCCCTGCATCGACCTTCATTCGATCTCCATCACCTTCTTCGCTTCTCCTCCTCCCCTCCTCCTCCCCCTACTCCACCTTCTCCCCTCCTCCTCCTCCATGACCGTCTTCATTCGATCTCCATCACCTTCTCCGCTCCTCCTCCTCCCCATCTTCTCCTGCCTCCTCCTCCTCCTTCCCCTACTCCCATCACCTTCCCCGCTCTTCCTCCTCCTCCGCTTCCTGCCCCCTACTCCTTCTTCATGACCGTCTTTATTCAATCTTTTATCACGCTTCTCCGCTCGCTCCTCCTCCCCATAACTCCATTACCTTCACCCTTCCCTCCTCCTTCTCCCGCTTGGCCCCTACTCCTTCATTGACCGCTTCATTCGATCTTATCACCTCTTCCGCTCCACTACTCTCTCGCCTCCCCTCGCCCTCCCCTCGCTCCCCTACTCCAATTCAACCTTCTCTTCTCTCTCCTCGTTTCATGACGGCGTCTTCATTCGATCTCTATCTCAGGGCAGTTCCGTATATGTTAATTATGTTATGTTATACGTACCTCGGGTAGCACTATCTGTATGTACGGCTGATACGACAACGACCCTTCAGCTGCCCAGCCATTGCTCCCGCCTGCAGTCACTGACACAAATATATAGCAGGTAGGAAAGCGTGCTGCTAAAATTTGCTCGACGCTCGCTTGATTTCACAACGAATACAACACAAATATATCACCATTCTACTCCATCTTTGTTTCTATTTCAAGTGTTTACTTTGTTAAAAAACACTGTCTGTGTTCAAAACCGAGCTGTGTCACAACAAACAACAAGGCCTGACGAAATTCTCGCGTTCTTTCCCGTTGCGCAGTTTATGTAAATGGCTGTCGGAATCAGGAAAACCCCACCGGCGCTCTTTGTGACCTCATTTTTGCGCCGCAACGTTTTTGTAACGCTCCACTGGCGGCTTTGACGGGGCTCGTACGGGAGTTTGAAAGCAGCGTGGTAGTTTCTCAAAATGCAGTGCGCCACCTATAGCCCTGTACTGCGCAGCCATTTACATAAACTGCGCAACGGAAGAGAACGCGAAAATTTCGTCAGGCTTTCTGTGATTTTGCGTGACACAGCTCGGTTACGAACACAGACAGTATGTTTTTATAACAAGTGAACACTGTTCTTGAAATAAAAACAAAGATGGAGTAGAATGGTTGAATATTTGTGTTGTATTCGTGTGAAATCAAGCGAGCGTCGAGCAAATTTTGGCAGCAGGCTTTCCTACCTGCTATATATTTATGTGTCAGTGTGCAGCGGCAGCCAGTGTTTGTTTGTAGATGAGCATTTGGAACGGCATTTAAAGGAAATTATTGGCAATTGAATAGGTGAAAGAGAGTATAGAAACATTAAGACTTTGGTAGTAAATAGATTTCGTATTTATTTAGCATTATATATTATTGAAACGCTCCAAGTGCCTGTGTGACGGGTATCAGTATGTTACATCCTGCACACACTGACACAGCCTACCTGATTAATTATGCCACCGCCACATTCCAGTGTTTCCACCGGCCCAATCTTAGTTTAGCAGGCCTTGACGTTTATTTTCAGATCGTTGTTGTCATGTCGGGCAACAAGAACTTGAAGAAGCAATTACTTGTCCGAATTTACTTGCAATCTTTGAGCCGTTAAGGGATATTTTTGGTTCAGTGCATATCATATTACAGTATATACATGGAAAATCTTAATGAAATTCACACAACGTAAATTTTTGCGAGCACCCCAGATTAGTGTAGCACATGATACCGGTTATCATGCGGAAACATATTGTCGTTGCGGGGGTCCCAAAATTCCTTGATGCCGCAAAGTCATTGCATAAAAAGTAAACAGGGTTAATCCATCCTATACTGTTCAGGGGTAGAAATTAACTTTTGAAAGAGGGAGTTAGCAGCAAAATGAGGGAGTCCATAGTTTGAAGTTCAAAATTAAAGATATTAACAATAATGCATACATGTGCTTATTTTGAAGATTCATGCGGTTGCACGTCTGCCAAATTTTCTTTGGACAATTGCTGAAAATCTTAATGAAATTCACCCAACGTAAATTTTTGCGAGCACCCCAGATTAGTGTAGCACATGATACCGGGTATCATGCGGAAACATATTGCTGTTGCGGGGGTCCCAAAATTCTTTGATGCCGCAAATTTATTGCATAAAAAGTAAACAGGGTTAATCCATCCTATACTGTTCAGGAGTAGAAATTAACTTAGTAGGAACAAACTAGTTAGTATAGCAGAAATTTCAGGGAGTCACACGGACTCCTGCATATGTCAAATCAGGGAGTCCGACAGTAAATCAGGGAGTATTTGACTTCGGACTCGCGTTAATTTCGCACCCCGCTGTTTAACTCTAACATTTAAAGATTTTTTTTTAAATGATTGCTTAGAAATGCAAAATCTGGGAAAAAATATAGCGAAATATAGTCTGACCTAATACTAGGCTGATGGGGTCTATGTCCCCCAGGGTACTGCCGGAACGTACCCTGGTACTAAATACTACTATCTAATATGCCGGACCGTACCTTGCCTACTCCCTAACCCTAACCTTAACCCTAACCCTAACCCTATCTCTAACCATATCAGCTAGATAGTTACCAGGTTACGTTCCGGCAGTACCCTGGGGGACATATACCTTATGAGCAATACTAATAGCGCATACGTTACCGATTACACCAACTTGAAAAACACTAAGAATTTATGCTGTTATAGCATAGAAAACTGGAATTGAACACAACACCATAGCATATTTTATTATAGCGACAATTAATTCTCAAATAGCGCCTACAAAACAATTTTCCCTCAGAAGAAACCGTGATAGTGCACCTGATTCAGACAAAGGGGCATCTAATTTTGTGTAGTTAACTCGGTGCCCGAGATTCGCAAGAAATTGCGGCAGAAATCAAAACGTGTAATCAAAATTCGAATTGTGCATGTTATTTGTGAATATAGCTGTACCG